ATATATCGTATGAAGTAGAAACTCCTGGGAAGGAGAACTTTTTGACTTTTCAGGCCGCTAATCTAGCGCTGGAAACGAAAGACAAAGCAGCTTGCTTTCATGTTGCTAGAATTTTCGAAGCCGAGGGTGATTACTCGAAGGCTGTTGACTTCTATACCAAAGCACACGCATATAATAGTGCTATACGGCTGGTCAAGGTGATTTTTAGGCCTTTTCAATATTTCCACTGTTCCGAAATCGTTTTCAGGAGCACGATATGCGAGATTTGCTAGCAAATCTATGTCTGATGGCTGGAGGTAGTGAAATCGTGGAAGCAGCTCGGTATTTTGAAGATATTCCTGGTTATACCCATCAGGCAGTAATGCTGTATCACAAGGTTTACTTTCTCATAACGTTTAAAGTCATATAAATGATTAACGAAATTTCCTGACAAAGAAGTTACAAACTCGAATTTTTCCGACTTTTCTTGGAGTTTGATTTTTGAATGTTTGACCCGTAAATCTGAAGTAATAAGTAACTTCACAGTATGCAAGCTGAAACCTATTCTTGTTTCGCGCATGTTTCAGGCTGGTATGATAGGTAGAGCGCTGGACCTCGCATTTCGAGCTGAACAATTTAGCGCTTTGGACCTTGTAACCAAAGATCTACATGCAGGATGTGATCCGAACGTCCTAAAGGTGAGTTATTTCATAGATTATAATTTTTATGAATAACCCTGAGAACGAGCCCCTTAATGTTACCATCTCATCCTTGACGATACATTCCAGCGTGCAGCAGAGTTTTTCGCAAACAATCAAAATTACGAAAAGGCTGTTGAACTGTTGTGTTTGGCCAAAGACGTGAGTGGACTTGCATTCCTTAAATTCTTCTTTCTTCCATGAAAAAATCTTCAATTTATAGTTTCGCCAAGCAATTGAGCTTTGCCATAATCACAATGTAAGGCTGACCGACAAAGTGGCTGAGCTTATGACCCCTACCAAAGGTATGTAATATTAAAAACTAGTCATTAGTCTGTTTACGTCGCAGAGTTATTTTTTGAGGACATATGGGAGCAGGAGCGACAAATCCATTGCTAATAAGAGAAGCGCACTTCTAGCAACTCACTATACAATTTCATGAGCAATGTTGATCTCTTTTAATTGCAAACATCATGAATGGTTTTTCTTTAATCTACACTAAAATGTTCTTGTTTGTATAGGGATGGTGCATATTCGCGTACAAAAGATTTTTGCAATTCTCTACAGTTTTTCTACTTGCGCATACTATTTCAGGAGACTGCAGTTAGATATGCAGATCCATCTGAAACTTTTCATTTTCGTTCTCGAAATCACTTGAGAGCAAGTATTTTTGATTCTTTGATTTTGTCAGTACTACTTTTCGCAAAAAGTGCGCTTAGGATACAAGAGGAGGTCACGTGCTTTCCA